ATGGAAGGCGTGGATGGTGAACCACGCTTTTGTCGCGTGGCACCAGCTCGGACAAAAACCTAGGGAAGGTGCGGATGGTGATCGGTGTGGCGCCAACTCGAAAGAAAAACCAGGGAAGGTGCGCTTGATGATTTGCGCCTTTCGTCTATGTCAACAAATAGGTGTTAGATCGGTAAAATTTAGTCAATGAGTGTCTGACAGATAATTATTGATTCTTTGGCTGATTTTTGGATAAAAACGCCTTATATTTTGTAGATTGAAGTTCTTTGCTTTCTATTTAATGCACAGATCAAACCTTTTTTCTATTCCTTTTGTTTATGTTCCTGGAAATGACTCCATTGTTTTGTGAGTTTATTTTGTTTTGCTTCTAATGTCATGTTTTTACTTGTTCTCAGTTTGGTTTTTATTAAGGTACATGAAAATTCTGTACTCTGTTCTTGGGTTTTGGATGTTCATTTACCATGCACAATTCTGTAAATTCTGAAGATGTATGACATGAAAATGACATGGTTTAGTTGGTTGTTTATGGGATTTTTGTGGAATGTGGTCTTAAGAGACCATCTTAGAAAGTTTTAATGCTTCCGTTTTATCTAGTTTTACTAGCCTGGGTTTTCCAGAAAACTAAAGATAAGGGCCTTCTCTACTGCTTTTACTAAGTTCATAGTCTAGTTTTTGCGAAGAATGTGTAATATTTGATACAATGTCTCTATTGTTTTATTTCAGGTTGAGGATCCATTTCTTTCTTAGATCCTGCAAGAAAGCTATCTGACGACACCATGGATGGGCGCAGGCATTCTGTTGATCTACCAATCTCAAGAACCCTTCTAGCACTTAGGAGAGTGAGATCATTAAGGGATCCTTCTACCAATTCCATTACCAAATTCTCTTCCTTGTTTGATAATGTCAAGTGGGAAACAAATTCAAGCAATGGTTGCCCTGAAACTGGTCCTAAGCCTAATGAACTTCAAGCTCTGGATTTAACATTTGATGGGCGAAGAAAGGAACAAAGTTGTGAATTTGAGCTGCATTTTTTTCCAGGAAATTCCAACCCCAAGTTGATCCCATGTGGGAATGTTAAAGAGCTGTGATACATCGATTTTCCTGTTAGAACCAGGCAGGCATTTGAAGATGGTTGTAGTGGAGATTTTAAGGATTGTGCATTATCAAACAAGAAAGAATTCCACACTAAAAGAACAATGGGGTTTAAGGACGAAGGTCTGAACTTGACATCGATGTCTCCGAGTTGTAACTCTATAGATGCTTGTAATGGATCCTCATCAGTGAAGAGAGTTCGTCATTGTGCTTTAGAACATAAATATCAATCTTGGAATCAGGTGAAGCTACATGGGGCAAATGGTGATGTTGCAAGTCCATGCCCATCAGTTGATGTTGTTTCGGGTCGTAATACCTCGTTGTATGCGGATGAAGACGTCGAACTTGCTGATGATAGAAATCACCATGGATGTGGAATTAGCTGCTATTGGTCAAAGGCTCCAAGACTGAGGGAATCAAACCCTACTTTGAATTTTGAAGACCTCCCATTATTGCCTGGCGATACAAATGAGTCATCTCTTTGAGGACAAAGTTTCTGGAAATGCATTAATGGTGAAATTAATTCGTATTCGAACAGTCCTTGGAGCTTGAGTCAAAAATTCAGGCCAAAATCTTTTGATGAATTGGTAGGACAAAATGTTGTGAGGTCTCTTTTGAGTGCCATTTCTAACGGAAAGGTTACCACTTTCAACCTTTTCCATGGTCCTCGTGGAACAGGCAAGACCACTGCCTCAAGGTTTTTTTGCAGCTGCTTTAAATTGCCAGTCGGTAGAGATTGATAAGCCATGCGGTCAATGTCGAGAATGTATATTGTTTTTTTCTGGAAGGAGCAAAGATGTCAAAGAGGTTGATTCTTTGAAAATCAATCGCACTGATAGGTTAAGGTCCCTTGTTAAAAATGCCATTGCCCCACCAGTTTCGTCACGGTTTAAGATTTTCATCATCGATGAGTGCCAGTTGCTGCAGGGTGAGACATGGGCCACAATTTTAAGCAGCCTAAAAAAACTCTCTCCGCTTATCGTTTTTGTTATGAGTACACCCGAAATCGATTTGTTGCCAAGAAGTGCAGTTTCTTGGTCCCAAAGATATCACTTTCCAAGGATAAAGGATTATGATATTTCAAATAGGTAAGAGAAAATCTGTGTTGAAGAAGGTCTGGACTATGATCAGGTTGCTTTAGACTTCATTGCTGCTAAATCCAGTGGTTCTCTGAGGGACGCTGAGATGATGCTTGATCAGTTGAGTTTGCTCGGTAAAAAGATCACAGTTTCCTTAACCTATGAGCTTGTGAGTTCTTCGGGATTTTCTTTTTCGTTATCTTGAATGGTGTTTCGCTTTCAATGTATGACATTGAAGTCTTGCTTGTATGTTTTTTGGAGGGGCAGATCGGAACTGTTTCTGATGAAGAATTGTTTGATTTGCTGGATCTGGCTTTATCTTGCCAGACTTCAAATACAGTTATAAGGTCCAGGGAGCTAATGAGATCGAAAATTAATCCTATGCAACTTATATCACATCTGGTTAATCTCATTACAGACATCCTCACTGGTAAATGTGACGAAAGCGGTTCTGAAGCTGGAAGAAAGTTTTCCAGAAAGCATAGTTGTAAGTTCCACAGATTCTTGCCATGCATTGTTATTTAATTCAGTATTTTGCCTTCTAGAACGTGGATGTGAGTCGGAAAGGTTGAAAGACTAATTAAAAGTATTTAAAGAGTAGGCAAAAGGATTCAAGTATCCTTGATTAACCATATAGCCTTAGTAAATGCCATGAAATATACAGATTCATGTATTGACATAAATATCGTCGGTGCCAGTCAATGTTTGATGGTTCTAAGTGTTGCAAATTGTTGTGTCACAGCTGAAGCGGACTTACAGAAGTTGAGTCGCTCACTGAGAACGCTTTCGGAAACTGAGAAGCATTTGGGAGTGTCAAAAAATCAAATTACTTGGCTCACTGTTGCTCTTCTGCAACTAAGCTCTATGGATTATAATGGCTCACAGTGTTTGGAAAATGCTCAACAGAAAGGTCAGTATGCTTATAATTCGTATTAACTATATCGTAAGTTTTAAATTTAGTTTAATGTATCGAGAAGCCTCTCTTATGAAGATCTCTTCTTGTTTTCGAAGCAGAAGGTGGTGCTAACAGCACATCATCTTCCGGCGAAAATTCAAATCATCTGTTATCATGTATGTGTAACAGCAATACTGAGGGAAGGCTGGAATCTATATGGAACAGATCAACCGAACTATGCCAGTCCGGTTCACTTAAGAAATTTACGAGGAAACGTGGGAGGTTGTCTTCTCTTTGTATTAATCAAGGTACATGAATATCAGTTTTGATATGGTTAATGGTAGCTTTTGTCATTCTATTAGTGATGAATTGGTGTTTCTCTGAATTCAGGTGTGGCTATTGCTGAACTAGAATTTGGCCATGCCAACCATGCATCTAGGGCTGAAAAATCATGGAAACATATTGCAAGTTCACTTCAGTTGATAGTGGGCTGTAATGTGGAGATTCGGATTAACCATTCTGATACTGGTTCAGTCTCCACGTTTGCAAAAGTAAGAAAACTATCTTGCAGCTTGTTTAGTTGTTCACACAGGTTGTACCCGAAATCAAGATCGTCTACGAAAAGTGGAAGCGATTCTGAGGTATCAAAGAATGCATACCCAAATCCTGGGATAAGTGACAGACCTATTTTAACTTGGTATTCGGGTCATGGGTAGGTTGTACCCGAATCAAGATCGTCTACGAAAAGTGGAAGCGATTCTGAGGTATCAAAGAATGCATACCCAAATCCTGGGATAAGTGACAGACCTATTTTAACTTGGTATTCGGGTCATGGGTTTGAATTCCCTCACAACGATTCTTGTGGAAGGGAAGTTGTCACTGCTTTCAGAAACAGTAAAGGTAACATCCTGAGCAGTGGGGCAACCCCATCGTGCGGACCATCACGAGATGATACATCTCTGACCTCTGCATATGGATTTTATTCACCCAAAGGGAAAGGAAGAGACTATGAATGCCAGATTCTTCCCGTTCATGAGCCTGATTATCTACCAAACTGTTTCCCTAGAGCATTGAGGCCTAAGAAGAAGGTGCATTTGTCCGACAGTACTAAAATGATTCCGTCTGGCAACCAAGAAGGAAACAAACTTGCTTTATCTATTTCTGGGGTGTCATCTTTCAAGAACCCCCTCTGCTCCAATGAATCCTATGTTTTCTATGACTCTGACAACGAGGATAGGTAAGAATGTGTAGAAATGTTACTTGTTTCATTTTTGAAAGATGCATGATGGTATTTACTTTTATCGTTATGCATTTTGGCAGATTGAGGCCGAACTCTGAGGTGCATTGCTGCAGAAACCCTGCATTTCCCTGTAAGAAGGTAATGACACTAACGTTATTGAAGTTTCTCCACAACATTCTAGCCTAAATCCAGTTCAAACAATTACATTCTAACCTATGAATTCTGCAGCGGCCTCAACGTCATCATGCACGCTTCGTAGATTGGGTTTTTCCTTGCTCCACTGGCAATTAGCTTCATGCCACAAGACATTTGCAGCAAGTTTGTGGATGATTCTTATAAGCTTCAAAGTACTGTCTCATTGTCTTGCCATTTTTGCATGAAAATTATATAAAACAAAATCTTGGTCATATACATGTAAGAAGAGAGCATAGACAGGGAAAGTCCTATCCTATGGATAAGGCCAAAATCAGGAAATGTCTAACTGTCTCTTGCCATACTGATGAAGTTCCAACCCAATTTATTCATTGAAGATGATTTAACAATCATAACATTAGCCGATTTTGTTTTTGTTGTCCTGGAATTGAATTGCATATGCGGAGGTTCAAATTTTATATATTTTCAAGGAAAGACATATACTACAATAAGAAAACATCCTCCAACATCTTTTTGCTCTATGGATCCTACTAGTACATAGATAAACATTGGGCAACATGGAAAACAATAAATCAAACAATCCTATGGTTATAGTACTTGTAATGAGGAGGTTTAAAAGGACCTTCAACGGAGACATTGATGTATGCAGCTTGGTCAGGAGTGAGCTTGGTGAGTTTAGCTCTGAGCTTCCCGAGATGAAGTGCTGCAACCATCTCGTCCAAGTGCTTGGGCAAAACATAGACTTTATTTTCATACTTGCCTGTTCCTCTCTCCTTCCACAGCTCAAGCTGTGCAATCACTTGGTTTGTCAAGGAGCAAGACATCACGAAGCTAGGGTGCTTGGTTGCACAACCCAAATTCATGAGTCTTCCTTCTGCAAGCACAATGATTCCCCTATTAGTCTCCGGGAAGACCCATCGATCAGTTTGAGGCTTGATAGTAGTCCGCTTGATACCCGGATAAGTCTCAAGACCAAGCATATCCATCTCATTATCAAAACCGCCGATGTTGCATACAATTGCATTGTTCTTCATCTGCTTCGTATGACTAACCGTAACAATATCCTTATTTCCAGTGGTAGTCAGAAAAATGTCCGCTTCGGCAACGTCTTCTAACCTCAAAACTGGAATACCCTCCATCAGAGCTTGAAGAGCGCAAATGGGATCGATTTCTGTCACAATCACATGAGCTCCAGCTGCCTTAAGAGGAGCGGCACAACCCTTCCCAGTGTCTCCATAACCACAGACAACCGCAGTTTTTCCAGCAATCATGACATCAGTTGCTCTCATAAGACCATCAGTCAACGAATGTCGACATCCATACAAGTTGTCGAACTGCATTCAACACAAATTCTTATGCTTAAAATACATAATCAACTTGTAATAAACCCTTACCTTGCTCTTTGTAACAGAATCATTGACATTAATGGCGGGGAATAGAAGGGTCCCATTAGCTTGCATTCGGTATAATCTTTTAACTCCAGTGGTAGTTTCTTCCGAAACTCCAACTAATCTATCCCTCATCCTTATATATCTTTTGGGGTCAACCAATAATCCTTCTTTGATAATACTCAAAACGATTCGAAACTCAGCGTTTTCAGTCTCATTTGGGTTCGGAAACTTGCCGCTCCTGTTATACTCTTCCTCCGCCTTAACCCCTTCGTGAATCAACAACGTGACGTCTCCACCGTCATCGACAATCAAATCAGGTCCGCCACCGAGGCCCCGGACGAGAGCTTTCTCTGTGCACCACCAGTATTCTTCTAGGGTCTCTCCTTTCCAGGCGAAGACGGAGGCGGAGCCACGAGCAATGGCCGCAGCGGCGTGGTCTTGCGTGGAGAAGATGTTGCAGGACGAGAAATTTTAGGAGTCTTCTCTTCAAATATTTAGGATAACCTACACAACTCAACTATTACTACTATTGTACTTTGGTCTCCGAACTATTATTTTATAAATTTAGTCCATAATATTACTTTATTTTTCTATTTTGATATTTATAAATTCTAACAAAATTTTTAATAAATTAACCTTCAATACTTATAAACTATTTTAGTTATAAATAATTCAATAAATTGACATTCTAATAAGACAGTGACATGTAATATTATCTTTTTAGTAAAAAATCTTAAAACAATTGAATGAGTTTGAAGGAGATCAAACTCGGGACATATAACTAACGATACTTAATCACATAAGATCGCAACATTTATCATCATTTTATTTGTGAAAATTAATAAAATTATAAATGAGTTTGAGTATTCCAAAGGCTTAAATGATAAAAGAATGACAAAAAAGAGTAAACTACGCATTTAGTATCTAAATTATAAATTTTGGTTTATTTTAGTATATAAACTTTTAATTTTTTAAATTCATACCTAATGTCTAATTTTTGTTTCATTTTAGTACCCTGTTATTAAAAACATAATATGTTTAGTACCTAAACTATCAATATTGATCCGTTTTAATACCTAAACTTTTAATTTTTTTTCTAAATTCAATGATAAATTTTGAACATGAGTATTAAAATGAAACACAAACTAAACTTCATATATGGTTTAAAAAAATTGGAAGTTTAGGTATTAAAACGGACTAAAACTAATAATTTAGATACTAAACACGTAATTTATAAAAAAACAATTTAAGAGAATTGAATGTCGCTTTTTATAGTGAAAACACGTACACTTTCATATGAAGATCCCATTATTGCTCCCATTAACTGGCATCCTCCTCGTGAGGGCTGCATATGTTTGAACACAGATTTGGCCGTTTCTGTAAGTTCTGGTATTGGTTTATTGGTGGTATCTTTAGATTTCGAAGGTTCTTGGATCTCGGGATTCAATAAAACGATAGGCGTCACTCAATCTCTACAAGTTGAATTGTGGGCAATCCTAATAAGATTATAACTCACCTGAGACTATTGGTTCCAGAAGCTAATCATCCAAACCGATAGTAAAGAAGTTGTCAAGCTACTTCATGATTCTAAAGCTGGAATGAGTTTCAACTCCCTTGTTCGTCTCATTGATCGAATCCACTGCAGAAGTTGAGTGACTGATTTTACTTGAATTCCATGTAGGGGTAATACATCTGCTGATAAAATGACTAGACTTGACAACAACCAGGATCATAGCTTACAGGTCTTCAAAAAGCCTCACGCGTCCTTATTGCAACTCCTACATTTTGATAAGCACTACTTGTTGTAAGGTTTATTTTTTGAACTCCTTCCAATAAAAAAAAAACTCCAACTAGAGTGATATTTTATGTACTTCCATAATTTAGGGTTTAGAAGATTTATGGGATTTGATTGAAGTCCACATTCTAATAAGAATCAGGGGCAGATATATTAAGGACTAAATATATCTCATTTTTTTGAAAAGTATTTAAATTTAATTTAATGTGTTATGGAGAAAAAAAAATTTATACCTTTTAAGAAAAAATATTAAAAATTTTAAATCTTTATTTATATATTTATGAATTATTCACTATTAAGAACTAAAACTGACTAGATAACAATTTAAAAGTCTGACAAGACAACAGGTAATTAGATTTGTCATGACACTATTGAAATTCATCCATTAATTTTTTTATTAAGCATTTATGTATTCATTTCTTGAGAAAAAAGCAATCACTTTAAGTTTGGAGTATGTTAACTCTGAAAAGAGTTAATATATCATTTAGATCTAGTTATTCGTATGAACTAATATAAATCAAAATTACTATACAAAAATTACCTCAGAATAAAATAGTAAAGTTGAAGTTATGTTATGATTTAAATCCTAATTATTAATTAAATTAGAATTTATTGTAGATGTAGTAATAAAAGATTATTTGGTAATTGAATATTTTAATAACTAAATATTTATTTTAGACAATAAATCTTATAAAATTAAGTTTCTTTGTGATTATATTTTTAACTCCAAAAATAATATAATATGTCTCGACTTTTAAAATAATGAGAGAAAATTATTTTAGAAACATATAACTTTTGTTAAGATTTATGCTATATACATGAGTTTTATAAGAATATTGTGAGAATAATTTGAAATTCCAATTTTAGATAAATCAAAGGAGGAGGCCTAAAATGTAGGGTGAGCGTTTAGCTAACTTGAAAAACTGAATTTTACTGGAGTTATTCAATTCGAGATATTTAGGGATTGTCTCGGGAAAGGTAAACTAATATATAATTAATATAAGGCGTGAATGGAAATATGATAAGATACTTAATAAAGTCGGTTTAATACTATTGAAAATATTGAGTAATAATAATGTTGTAGGTGAAAAACATAAAGAAATATTTAAAAATTTGACAACTGGCAAACTTAGCTTATCGGTAGGTATCGACACCTTACACACATGTATCAATACATAACAATATAACAGGTTGAAGTTTGACAAAACCGGTTTCAATTTGACAAAACTGGTAGAGATACTGGAATTGTTGAAATTTGTATCGATACTTTTTTAAGTATATGCACCAAAGTATCAATACTTTAGGAATTTAAAAGAATTGCAATAATAGCGCCTATAAAGTATCGATACCTTAGAAACATGTATCAATACATGTAAAAATTTGACAAAACCAGTTTTTATATGACAAAACTGATAAAGCACTATCGGATATGTTGAAGGTATCGATACTTTTATAAATATATGTATCATATTATCGATACTTTAGGAATTGAAAATAAAAGAAAAAAATGAAAACGTATCGACACCTTACACAAAAGTATCGAGACTTGGGTAATCGTATCGATTAAATATAAATAACATATCCAATTAAAATATCAAAGGCATAACTACATTTCCTCTGAAAATAGATAGAAGACGGCCGTAGTTTTCGAAAACGAAGAGTATTAGTTGCTGCGAAATGGAAGCAAAGCATTTTTGAAAGCGTAATTGTTTGTTTGTTGCTACAATCAAATCAAAAAGTACGTTGTCGAAACCTTAGTTTTTTTAGTATTATAGTAATCAGAAATAGGGGTTTTATGGGTTTGGGGTTTTTGAAGTAAAGAAGCATTCGAGACCGATTATATGTAGAAAGTGATATTCTAGGTAGAAAATAAATATCGATACTTTTATATAATATTATAGGTAGAAAATGATATTGTAGGTTGTATAAATGTACCGATACTTGTAGTAGAGAGTATTCCAATTCTTTTGAAGGAAACCCTAATTTTTTTAATTTTACAATATTTGGAAATATGGTTTATGGGTTTAGGGTTTTCAAAGTAAAGGAGGATTTGGGACCGATTAGAGTTAGAAAGTGATATTCTAGGTATAAAATAAATATCAATACTTTTATATATTTTTATAGGTAGAAAATGATATTGTAGGTTATATAAATGTATCAATACTTGTAGTAGAGAGTATTCTCATTCCTTTGAAGGAAACCACTTTACTATAAGATTAGTTATCGATACTTGTATATTGAATAAACTGTATGTAACTTGCATTTGATTTGATTTGAGTTAATTTAATGCTTGAATGTTCGTAAACTAATATATGAAGAAAAAATGAAGTCAATGGATCTTGTAATTGTTGTTCGCGAAGATGACATTGAAATGGAGTCCGAGAGTATGAACAATGAAGTAAATCGAAAGCAACCACTGGGTGGATATATATACTTCTAGTAAGTATCAATTTATTTGTGTAATTGTTGTTGAAATGATAATTGGATTAAAGTATTTAAGTACTTTAAATTGATTACAAATATTAAATGTTGACAGTATGACTGAATGTCAAAGGATGAAGGAAGCTGGTAATTACAACATCGGTTCGGTATGTAAATTGAAATTGACATTGAGTATTATTTAACGTTAATGTATTAATTAAGAAATGTTTAATCAGGTGAAACATGAGGTGTTGGAGAAATGGAAGTCGATGAGTGATACTGAGAATGAATCATATGTGACAAGGTCCAAAAAGGATAGACAATAATATAATACTTGGAGGAAAGAATATGAAAAGAAGGTATTCATTAATCTTGTAAATACTGTCATAAACGATATATAAGAACACTAACATTATATATTTTTAAAAAAAATATAGGAAGTGTCGACAAGGTGTAGCATCAAAAGACTGAACTCCATAATTGAACACCTGAATGAGAAGAATAAATTTCATGTGTTGGAAGAAATGGGGTTTGAATATTTGATCGGAGTGAGGGATCGACCAATTCAGAGGGAATTGTGTCAATCGTTGATGGAGGAATTTGATGTACAAAAATGTAGAGTTAAATATGGTGATTATTCATTTCCTCTAGGAATTCTATGTGTTGTAACCGTATTGGGGCTAGAAGATAAAGGCAATAGTGTTGAAGAAGTCACTTGCTATGAACTATGATTTAAAGCCCAAGGTGCCATATGTTGGACTTGAAGAGGAAATTAAAAGCTGAGCTTATGACATGGATAACCTGAAGGCTCGAGTACTATTGTACCTTATCGGAATCTTTCTTTGTCCAATGGGTGATACATCCCTGAGAAAGGACAATATGAAGTTGATTTGCGATGAAGGCTTGAAAGATGAATTGAATTGGGCTGAATATGTTCATGTCAGATTGATTGAATCAATAATTAGCTTTGAGAAGGGCCGAAGCCTGACATACCTCAAAGGATGCATAGCAACCTTAGAGGTAAATGAGTTTAAGGATGTGTTGGGTTAGAAAACTTGTAAGTATATTTATTATAGAAAATGATAAATTTCATTATAAATGCAAGTTGTATTGTTCGATTTTTGGTATGACAATGCAAGTGTGCCAGCATTCCAAAGAACCAGAGTGGCATGCATCAGTGCATAGGGGAAGCAAGAAGTAGTTAGAGTTATGGAAAAATTAAAGTTGGAAAGACCGAGAAAGCAAGAAAAGGTAA